TTCTTCACTGAGGCAAACTGAAGCTGGATTGAACCACTTTCCTTCAGCTGATGGAAAGAGGGAGCTAATTACAACTTGTACAAAGAGGAAAGAACTCTGCATTGGGAGGAGACCTCCCCAACAAGTGTGCCTGGCTTTATCCGTGATGTGATTTCTCTCTTTTGGATCCTCAGTCCTGAATCGCTGGTCAGAACAGAGTTTGTCATTTTGATTTCGCCCAGCTGTGCAAGCAGGAATAATACTGACATCAGCAGCCTGTCCCTGAGGCTTTGCTATCTCCTGCTACACTACCAAATACTCAGAGGAGAATTTTAGAAGCCCTGGTTTTGATCATAGCATGGCTCTAGAAGAGTAACTTAACAAGCTGGATGACCTGATCTGGCTGCTCTGATCTGCTGTGTGCACATCACCGTGGTATCTGAGCACTCGGAATATTTGCATAACATTCAATCCAAAGGGATGTGGCTTCTCCATTTCATCTCTGATGGTGCTGTTTGAAGGTACAGAATATTTTTTCCTCTTCGTCTTCTCCTCCTTTCTGCTTAACTCCTGGGTGGTGATGTTTATAATCGATGTACTAGTGTCATTTCAGACATCCTGCTAATTCTGAGAGGGGCTGCCGGCCTGGGTTCTCTTCTTGAGGGTGTTTGACTGGGCTTGCATATTTGAACCATTCTGAACAACAAAAGCTGTTCCAGGAGTTGGGGTGGCATGGAGGTAGGTGTGGAGACAAGAGGTGGTGGGTAGACTGAAGGGAGTGGTGTGGCTGGCATCATGGGTGGCAGAAGAACAAAGCAGCGTGGCATAGCAAGCATGGTCTTCAAGGAAACCAGCCTGCTCGCCCTGTGCACCAGTGCGGAATGAAATCCTCACTCCACTGAAGTCCATGGCAAAACTCCCATTGACTTGGATGGAACCAGAATGTCACCCCTGGAGCCTCTGATACTAGCATGCTCACACCTCTTCTAGATTGATGCACCAGTAGCCAGATCGCTATCCCTTCCACGACTGCCAATTGGTCCAAAGCATGGAGCTGGGTCTTTCCCCATCCAGGGAGCTGCGTTTGTGTGTCTGATTCCTGAGCTCACCGAATACTCCATTGCTGCCAAAGAAGGCACTCAGGAAACCTGAGCTGTTGGCATTACTGAGCTGCCATGATGGGGTCACCCATCTGCCCTACATTTGTCCATGCCCTCCGCTTAGGCTACTTTTAGAAAGAGCCAGCACTCATTATAAAAAATCCATCCACTGTAGCATTTCAATTCTATCCCGATTTTATTATGAAAAAATATGCACATGCAAATAGAACTCCCTGTGCGTATCTCATATCTATAGATCAAGGTCGTGTTTGTGTCTGTCAAAGTAATGTGTAAGCACACAGCGCTTTATAGAAATATCTGTACAGTGTTTCGTTAAGGAGATGGTCATGTCCATCTATTTGAATATAAAGGGAAGCTGGAACTTTCAAGCGTGTGCTTCAGATTATTTTTGGACCGAGAGAACTTCGATCTGGGAAAGTTTCTATTTGAGGCTGTGAAACTAGGCCACCTCTAAGATCAGTGACCTACATTTCCCAGGTTTGGGACTGCAGGCTAATGTAGCAATTGTCGTGCTCCGAGACTCTTCTACTAATGTCCCTAAGCAGGGATGGGAGTGGGGGAAATCAGTCTTAAAGGTATGACTTAGTGGGCATATTGGGATGTGTTTAACTGGCTAGTGAAAAATGATGAATTTCTCCTGCTGCAGTTCTGTAGCTCCTCTGTGCTCCCCCCGCCCCGGTTGAGTGTGAATGCACAGAGGTAGTGGAGGATGTCCTGTGTGGGTGATGAGTTGAAAAGGAGACAGTACCATGCCTGGGTCTTGCCAGTATCACACTGCCCCAACTCCTCAGTATTGCCAGCCCCAAGTATTCAAAGATTATGAGATTGCCTTAAAAAAATAAACGTGTTTTAACAATAAATGCATTTGGGATTTTTTTTTAATTTGGCAACTGTTTTTGGAGCACTTGGGGTGGGGGGTGGGGGTCGCATTTTCAGACGTTTCTCTACAGCCATGAGGGCTAGACGCCTACTTCAAAGAAACCTGAGATTCTCTCATAATCACTTGACTCCAGTAGCTGGGTGGGGCTGTAGGGGGAAAAAACCCATCCAAGAGCATGAGACTCACAAAAAAAACTGCGAGATTTGGCAGTGCTGCCTAGCTTCTGCTGACTGTTACACTTAGCTTTAAGCTCAGTGCTTCTGCCTTCCTGGATCTGCTATTCACACAGAAGTCCAGGAGTAAGTTGTGCAGCTGCAGGACAGCTACTCGATTCAAGCAGCTCTATAGATGGCCCCATTCAGTCTCTGCTCCTGAAGGTGCCAATTCCCAGAGTGAGCATCTCTTTCTGGGGCAAGTTTACGGCAATTTGAATATTGAAGAGAGAATTCAGGGTGGGATTATTAACTCTGTTTTCAAGCTGCATAGAGGTTTAATATCAGGACATGTACTGCTTTATCGGATGCCTGTGCAATTAGCATCCATTTTAAATGTCCAACCAATGCAGGTGCTGCTGCTTCAGGGTGACCATGTAGTCTCTTGTGGGGTCTCCTTAAAGTTGCCGAGGTTGTAAGGGGGAACCAGTGCTAAAAACTCCATTTGCCTCCACTGATGTTATCTGAGTGACTAGTGATAATAATTCAATCACATTTTGTACTCCTTAGTGTAAAGTGCTTCATAGAGTTTGGGCCTGAATCCCCTCTGCCCTGCATCTTGTGAAGTCATTTACACAAGAACACAGCGGGTGTCAAATGCAACCATTCTGATGGGCTGGCATTTTTGCACGGATGTAAATGACCAGGCAAGGGAAGGACAATGGAGAATCAGTCCATCCTGTACAGGGATCACTTTACCAGCCACTGAAATGCAGTCACCTCTGGGGTGGAACTCGGGTGCTATTTTTTTCAGCCTGGACTCTATAGACCAGGGTCTGTAGGCAAAGAAGGGAAGACTAATGCATGCAGTTGACACTATAGAAGGGCAATCAATGTAGGCAGAATAATTACTAGACTAGGAATCGACCCTGGCCCCGTGCCTTAATGATTCCTATACCACAGGTTTGTATTAATATTTATGCAATCTAGTCCAGCTATTCTGTTAAAACACCAGACTCAAACAAACACAACCTGCACATGATTTATCCCCTGCCTGGGTTATTCATTTACTTTGCAAATGCCTCCTCTCTTGCTGTTCGGGGTGAAGTCCTAGCTCCCAGCATTAAAATCAGTTTTAAAACACTGAACCCCCTGCAGATTAACACTCACGTGATTATCACCGTGTCTTTGGTACAGCACTGATTTAATCAGATCAATTAGAGTGCATCTTTAATGCCACAAGGGGACCTGCAAGATTCTGGTACAATTATCTGTAAAAGAATAAGACCTAGTTCTTATTTTGTGCTTTCCAGCCATTGATTTCAAGTGCATTAAAAAACTAGACGAGCATCACGCTGTCCCCATTTAACACACAGTGGAACAGCAGCACCGAGATGTTATCTGCCCAAGGTTACGTGACGTGTATTTAAGGACCAGCTAATAGAGGCGGTCAGGAATTTGCCATCAAATTTTTTTTCTATGGAAAAATGCAGTTTTTGCAAAATTGACATTGTCTGCAAGAAGACTTTCGGGTTGGCCAAAATTTTCCGACTATCCATCAAGAAAATAAAAATATTTTATTTCAAGTCAGGTTGACTCAAATTCAAATGTTTTGTTTCAGGTGTGTTCAGCTGAGACGCCATGTGCCCATGGCTTTTGGGTGGGGGGGTTGAACCACAGAAGTGCATCATGGGAGTCACATGACCACAGTGTATCCTGGGAGATGTAGTCCAGCTGGGGAACCTGGCCAATAGAGGAGAATGGGAACATGAGGCATCTGAACTACAAATCCCATGAGGCATCACACCAACTCAAAGGGACATAAATTAGTGTCAAACCTAGCCAAAATAAAGCATTCTGACATTTCTGGAATATTTTTTGGAACTTTTCTGTTGTATGAAAAATTGATACTTTTGTCCTGATTCTGGATTAAAAGAGATGTTAAAAGAACAGAATTTCCTGTAGGATGAAAAATCCAATTTTGTCCTGAAAGCACATGTTGAAACATCAGATTTTCCTGCAGGATGGCAATTCTGATTTTTGAGGAGCTCTACTGGCCAGACTAGGTGTTGCACAGCCTTCTACTGGGTGGAATTGGAACTGCACACATGCTGTGTACTGCTAATAACTCCTGTCTCTCCAGTGGCTCTTTCAGCAGTAAGGTCTCCACTGTTGCCCTGAAATTCTGAGTGGCCAAACTATGCAGCCTAATGACTACTGGTTGGATTCACAGGAGGATACAGATTTTCTTACAGTGCATGTGTGGTAGATGCTTGCTAATGCAAACTGTCATTTTGCGTGAATCTCAAACTGTCTCCCCGCTCCTCACCTATGGCTTAGTAGTAGGCTTGGAAGGCTTTGATATTTACAAATGCTTGCTGATAAAAATCAATTTCACTGTGTGTACACACAAACTGGTGAAAACCATATTTCTGTCCATAATTGAAATGTACAGATAGGCAAAGTAAGGGAAATGCTGCTTGAGAACTTATGAGAGTTTGGTTTAAAGCTGTTTACTTTTGTATATTTTGATAATTATTGACTCATCCACATCCGCATTGCTGGTCCCCTCCATAAATTTCCCACAACTATGAAAATTTAAATCAACTGGGAAAAAAACCCACAACCCTTTAACTGCTTCATTTTGTGCAACAGTGAAAATTGAAAACTGGAAAAGAGGAAAAAAAAAAAAGCTTAAATAAACATTGATATTATGTTGAAATTATAAAAAAATTGAATTCTGCCAAGCCTACTTAATGAGATGAGACCAGTCCAAGACTTCATTATTTTTTCTCAGTGCATTATGAAATATTATAATAAATAATTAAAATGACTGCTGTCAAAACAAATGGCCCAAGTCCACTTTGGCAATGCTGTGAAACGTTATCCTTCTGGTCTTGTGGTTTGTTTATTATTGTGTATTGCATACTACTCAGCAACTTACAGTGTCGAGTAATTGGCAACGAGTTTCCCAGTTGTTAGTTCAAATTAGTGAGGCCCTGATGACACAGAGAATGGTGACACCTGGCTGTGGAGAAAGTTTCAGTCTGACCCTTGATGCAGTCAGAACAGTGGTTCACTTTATTCATATTTTTCGGAAAGCGATCCAGAGACAGAACAGTTACATAACAGTATCAACTCCATGTGACTGTGTCTTTTGCAATCAGAGAATGTTCTTTTCATTTGGATCTACAGCTTCCTATTGATGGAATATAGTGATATTTTAAATCACCTTGACTTTCTTTAGCCTTTTGCTCTCTTGAGCCATGTGTCGCACCTTAAATCCTAGACACTGCTCTCTTTGTGCGGGTCCCAGCCATTTCTTTTGCTCCACTTGGGCTTGGTGCAGTGGGTGTTCGGGATCACTGGCTCCATTGTTGACACAGTTTCACCAGAAACGTGGGAGTCAGGGGACTGAGTCAACAGCAGCAAACAAAACTTAGTGTCGGAAACGCAAAGCAAAATGTCATATTGGTCCAGGGAACATGAGGGGCTAGAAGCAATTAAAAGGCTCTTGTTGGGAAAGCAGCAGGTGTCTCTGACAAGACCTGTCAGCCCTTGCAGAGCTTGCTCTCTCCCTCCCTTTTCACACCATTGTTTTTCCATCTTTCATCCCACGTAGAAGTTACCTGGCATCAGCACTTGGCAGCTGCGGCCATTTCACCGCTATTCCCCTTCATTTCAGACCCATCGCTTCATGACACCACCTTGATCGTAGGACTCCCAGTTTCTCCTCATCACTGCAGGCAAACATGAAGAGGCAGAACTGATGAGAACAATGGGGCAAAGGGAATAGCAGCCAGCCAAGCTGCAACTCATTAGGACAGCAATTTTCCCCCAAGCCAGGTACTTTTCCCCTGAGAGGCGTCTCACTTTCCCATGCTGAAATGGTTTTGGAGGGTGAGGGCCCAGAGCCAGGAGCTGTGTCAGAGGATTTGTTTTGTGGGGGAGGGAGAAGACATACGGCCTCACCCATGCCTTCAGGAGGCTCCTTCTCTTACGCCATGCAGATAGTCTGAGTCATAAGCAGAGCTCAGCAGTGATCAGGAAGGCCCAGCAATGTTGCCAACTCTCACAATTGTATTGTCAGTCTCCTGGAATCATGGAAATGTAGGACTGGAAGGGACCTTGATAGGTTGTCTAGCCCTGTCTCCTGCATTGAGACAGGATGAAGTATTATCTCCTAGACCAGCATTTCTCAAACTGGGGTCTCCCAGGGTATGCCCTGGGGGTCCATGGGCCCTGCTGATCAACTCCTCTCCCTCCCTCCCAGTGCCTCCTGCATGCTGGGGAACAGCTGTTCAGCGGCCTGCAGGAGGTGCTGGCAGGGAGGGGGAGAAGTGAGGATGGGGTGCGCTTGGGGGAGAGGGTGGAAAGAGGCGGGGAAGAGGAGGGGCAGGGCTGGAGTGGGGAGTGGAGCCTTAGGGGAAAAGGGTGGAGTGGGGGCAGGGCCTGGAGCTGAGTGGGAGGGTTGAGGGGTCCACAACAAATTTTAAATCAAAATGAGGGTCCTCGGGTTGCTAAAGTTTGAGAACCACTGTTCTAGACCATCCCTGACAGGTGTTTGTCTAACCTGTTTTTAAAAACCTCCAATAATAGATACTTCTCTAAGTAATTTGTTCCAGTGCTTAACTACCCTGACAGAAAGTTCTCCTTAATGTCTAATCTAAATCTCCCTTGCTGCAGTTTAAGCCCATTCCCTCTTGTCCTATCCTCAGTGGTTAAGGAGAACAATTTATCACCCTCTTCTTTATAACAACCTTTTACGTACTTAAAGACTATTATCAGGGCTCATCTCCAGACTAAACAAACCCATTTTTTCCCAATCTTCTCTCATAGGTCATGTTTTCTAGACCTTTAATCATTTTTGTTGCTGTCCTCTGGACTTCCTCCAGTCTGTGTACCTCTTTTCCTGAAGTCTGGTGTCCAGAACTGGGCACCACATCCCAGCTGAGGCCTTACCAGCACGGAGTTGAGAGGAAGAATTACTTCTCCTGGGTTGCTTACAACACTCCTGCTACTACATCCCAGATTGATGTTTGCTTTCTTTGCACCAGTGTTACACTGTTGACTCATCGTTATTTTATGATCCACTATAACCACCAGATCCTTTTCTGCAGTATGCCTTCCGAGGGCATCCTTTCCCACTTTGTATTTGTACAATTGATTAATCCTTTGTAAGTGATGTGTAGTACTTTGCATTTGTCCTTATTGAATTTCTCCAGTCTGCTAAGACCACTTTGAATTCTAATCATGTCCTCCAGCTTGCATCCTCTCCCAGCTTGGTATCCTCTGCAAACAGTGTACTTTCTATGCCATTATACACAATTTCTGAAGATATTGAATAGAATTGGACCCAGGCCAGATCCCTGCACATCCCCACTTGATATGCCCTTCCAGCTTGACTGAGAATCATTGATGATTACTCTGTGTCCGGTTTTCCAACCAATCATGCACCCACCTTATGCTAGGTTAGTCTAGGCCATTTTCCCTAGTTTGTTTATGAGAAGGTCATGTGAGACTATCAAACGCCTTACTAAAGTTGAGATATACTACTTTTATTTTGGGTGTGTTTCTTAAAGCCCCAGCTCCTGGAGCCATGTGATTATGTGAGACTTTTGGGAGGGGTGTCAAAAAAGCTGACAAAGTAAGTTCCTCATGGTTGCAGGAAAAGGCTTGAAAATCTGGCTCTGAAAGGTGAAAAAGAACCAACATTTAAAAAAAAACCTCATGATTTTTAAGCCACTCTTATGATTTTGGGGGGTGGGGGTCAGACTCCTGGCTTTTGAATGCGTGGGGTTGGCAATACCACAGTCTTAATAAGGGACAGATGTGCAGCTTTCCCCTGGTCATCTTCCCTGCTGATTGAGAGGAGCTCTGAAATGGTTTGGGCAACAGGTGCATTCTGGGATACAGTGGGAGGGACCATGGGATTTTGATCTTTCCTCTAGCCTCTGGGATGTATCCCACAATCCACTGGGAAAACTGGCTCGCATGCCAGGAGCCTGGAAGCAGAGCCAGGAGTTCTGGGATACCTGTCCACATTACAGTTGATGCAAGACATAGCTTAGAGCACACACAATGGGCTGGGTTACATTGATGTAAGCTGTATCAGTGCAATTTTTGTGCCTAGCTGAGTCCTCCCCACTTGGACTAGGACTAGGAGTGGGGGAGGATTTGTCTTCAGCTGATACGTCATGTGAAGTATTGGCTGCTGTGGAAGGCAGGATGCCAGTCTGGACATCCCAATGGTCGATGACCACTCCTAAGCTCCTGTGTTTAGTGCTTTTAATTTGAGCTGGTTTGTGGATTGTGTAGCTTGGGCCAATCTCCGCTGTTCACTGCAATGCTACAGCTAGCTTGGGGCTGAGCCCAGCTGCTCTCAGCATTGGGTGTTCCATGAATATCACCCTCTCTCTACCATGGGAAAGGGCCAGCAGTGGTCGTAACATAGGCCAGGGAGTAGGGCACAGGTAGGGGAGCCAGCAGGCCTGGGTTCAGTTTCTGGCTCGGCCACTAACTTGCTGTGTGACCTGGGGCCAGTCACTTAGGATGAAATGTTCAAACTCGGGTGCCTGACTTTAGGCACCCAACTCAGTATTTTGACACTTAAATAAGTCGTTCTCAGAGGTGCAGAGCACCTGCAGCTCCCACTGAAAATCAGGCTCTATATTTAGGCCTCTCTATATGGATTTGGGTGCTTTAGGAATGAAAATTTTGGCTAAAACCCCGCTGGGCCTCAGCGTCTTCCAGCTGCACAATGAGGGTAATGCTATTGACCCTCCCCCCCGTAAAGTGCTTGGAAATCTATGTCTGAGAAGCACCGTGCACGTTCCAAGGGTAGTGTATATGGCATTTAGGAGCCCAAGTCCCATGGACGGTCAGTAGGACTTCCACTATTAAATGCCTGAGGTGCTTTTGAAAGTCTCTAAAGAGACTAGTTTCAGGCCTTGTACCTCATTGCCATAGCAGCAGTGAGAGCGCTTTGTTGGGATGCCAGCCTGACGCTCCCCCCAATCAGTAAATAAGCAGGAGTTCTCCAGCCCAGGCTGCAAGCTGCCAATGAAACTTGGCCAACCTCAGCTCCGGTGCTCTCCATGCATAAGGCAGGGTGATTCTCTCTTCCAGAATTAGCATGACTTCAGGGAGGGCATCCTATCACGTGAGTGGCTGAATGAACTCATTTCTGTGTGGAGGTAAGTGGCGGATCCCGCTGGCTTCTCTTCAAGGAACATCCCAACAGAGTGCCTTGTTCCGTTTCCTTTCCCTTCAAGGAGCCGGCTGAGCCTGTCAGGTAGCTTTCAAATGCTAGGTCCTCCGGGACTTGTTAAAATACTTCATCGATGCCCCTCTTTCTCTGCAGGGCTGCCCTTTTGCTCATCTGTTCTGTCGCTACCTGACTCGGATCGCTTCGGCAAAAAAGTTTCCATAGTGATCTGAGATTCAGCTCAGCCGCCCCGCTCAATAAACAAATAAATTCCAGCTGCTGTATCTTATTAAGTGTTCCTTTTAAAGGACCCAATGTGAGGCCAGCCAAGGCCAGGGGTCACCCACATTCAGCGAGGCAGGTCTGTGTCCCCAAGACAGTTCGGTTGTCTGAGGGCCATCTGCCAACTCATGCTGCTTCCTTGCTTCTCCTTACCCCTTCACTGCGCCCTTTATGCCCAGGTAAAATGGCCAGGTGTTAGTGGTGGTAGCAGTATTAAAAACACCTCTCTGCAAAATGTCAGTCTGCCTTGCCCAAGGGATTTTTTTGCAGTGCTAATCTAAACTGTGCTGTCCAGTGTCAGAAGTGGCTGTATAATGAGGATCTGTCAGAAGCCCTAATTGGATGGGTATTCAATGCAGGGGGTGGGTGGGTGGGTTGGTTGTTGTTATATCCTCGGGACTCTGTTTTCGCAGCGATTCTCATTAGCTTTGAAAATTTAATCTTCTTTTAAAGTACCACCTTAGTGCCCCTCACTCCTCAGGAGCTGCTCAGAGGCACACCAGCGACTGGTGCCTTGCATGATAGCTCTTTGAATTCCCCCTGCAGTTAGAGAGCAGATCCACAGGCAGGATCTCAGCAGGAGCAATGAATGCAATTTCTGTCTGTATCCAGGGCTCTCGCTACTAAAGGGAAGTCTAAATACCACAGGGAAACCAAACCAAACCAAACCTCTCTGAAGAAGCAAATTGCAGTCCTGACTCTACCGCCTGCAGAGCAGCAGCCAGACCCTCTCTCCAGTGGGGCATAAATGCATGTGATGCTGCCATGTTTTGTATTCATTTCATTGAGAGGGAATGGAAAGTGATTTCTCAGTACTCAAAGTCAAAGCTAAGGTTTGGTCCCATCGTCAAGGCCAACAGGGTAGGTATGGCAGTGGGGAGAGATGGTGGATGGTCAGGAGGAAGGCGCCCTCTCACGAGACCCTGGAGCACAGAACATGCCATGCACATCAGGCATCCGATGCATATTTCTAAGACTCCCATTGGTAAAGTATTTGGCCATCACGAGGGAAAGGTGAAGATAAAAGGGTCATTCCCAGATGGGCAGCAGCTATTTACCCTGCTGCAATATTTACTATGCCATTGTTATAAGAGAGCCGGAGTCTGCAACAATCACAATAATATAATAGTTGTTAATAAATGGCAAAGACCTGGCAACCTCACCATGCTGTACAACTCTCCTTGTCTCTTCCAAATGGGCAAAGATCCCTCCTCTGCTTTCTGAAACAGCCTCTCTGGGCCTCATTAGCTTCCTGATTTCGATCAAACCCTCTCTCTTCCCTCGGGACTGGGACAACTTCTAACTCCCGTGTCTACGCTCTGGGAAGTATCTGTGGCTGAGAATGGGTGCAGAAGAACAGGGTTTAAATGCAGAGGTGGCCACAGACAAACATGAAATGCCATTTCATTTCAGAAATCAGAGCTGAGCAATCCATAAACCAACCCAACCCAAATCATACCCCCTGTTGTCCATCAGACATATCCACTGCATTGCTGGCTGTCTCAGCCCCATCTCAATCCCAGATCCTCCCTCCAGCACATAGCACAACCTGCATTACGTTGCTGGTATAGACGGACCCAGAATGTAATTGGTTATAAAGCCCTCAAATTATTGTCTCTGATGGGCTGTACAGACAGGATCCTGCATGCCACTCCATTGTGCACCAAATGGTTTGTAACAGAAAGACCTCTCAGAAAGGGTGTCTGTCTCCGTATGAAATAATATCAAGTGCTGTATAAATGAGCCCTCTTTGATGTTCTTGCCTAAAAAAACGGACAGCAGATGATTTTTTAAAAACATTCTGGTTTTCCAAACCAGCTTTTTATTGCATTTTTTTTAATTGCAATCTCAAGAGTGCCATAAAAAAACCACATCACAGATGCAATTCCATTACCTATTTCACAATTAAAAACCCACCGATAAATGGAACAGACCCCCTACTCCCGATCAGCCTCCTTTGCCCCCTCCCTCACACAGGCTAATAAAGGACCCACAGTGTTAATAAATCCATTAGCCAAGAAATGGTTTCTGTTCTGACACCCATGTAACACCTTCTCTTCCCCGTCTCTATCCCTAATTACGTTTCGTTTAAACACACATAATTACTGAAATGACTTCTTCCAAAAATAAACGGTGGGGTATTCAGAGCTGCCTCGCTTCTCAGCATTAGGGTTGTTTTCAGCCAAGAAATCTATGCCTTTCAGCTCTCTCTTGGCAAGGTCAGGTGCAGGCCAAAGCACTTGTGATTCTTCCCCACCAAAACAGTCCTAGAAAAAGAGCTAGAAAACCGGGAGCTTGAGAGACACAATGGTCACAAACCATGATGCTTGCTCAGTCATTAAGCATTTGTTGTGGTGCCTTAAATCAGCAACCTCAACAATTCATCGGGTCTCAAGCCAGAAATAAGGGTGCTGGAGGAAATCAGACCAGAGTAATTTCCCCAAACTAAAGAGCTAACATACATGACAATGAATTAGGTGGATTGAGGTTTACCAGCTGGCTATGAAAGTGCGTGGGGGTTGGCACAACAGTCCTCACACCTAGGGGTGGCCCAGATGGCCGCCCATCGACTTCAATCAGTTGTCCCCTGCAATTCTACAAAGACCCCTTCAATGAAAATTTTCCAACCTGGATTTCTAAAAATCAGGCTCCAAACACCCCCCCAGTCTCTCAAGTGGCGGTGCAATCTTCATAGACTGTGGGTGAAATCCACGCTCCATTGTAATCAATGGGAGCTTTATCACTGAGTTTGATGGGGCGAGGATTTCACCCTGTGTCCCAGTATGGACTGGCTTCTCAGTGCAAGATGCTGCACTGCATGCTGGGACCTGTAGTCTTTGTAGCCTCTGCATTAAAGGTCAGAGTGGCTGCAACCTGGTCCACTGTTTTGCACACTGGGCATACCTGTAAGGCTCCTGGCCAGCAGGCTCCTCAGTTGAACAAAATTTGTCTGCCCTCGAGTATGTCCAGAAACAGAGGAGCTTCAAGAATGCCCTGCTCAACTCTCCTCTTGAATTTGCGATTGAAGCCTTCCCGACTGGTGCTTGAAAGCCTCTGTAACTCTGATCACAG